TGTTGTTGTTGTTGTTGTTGTTGTTGTTGTTGTTGTTGTTGTTGTTGTTGTTGTTGTTGTTGTTGTTGTTGTTGTTGTTGTTGTTGTTGTTGTTGCTGTTGTTGCTGTTGTCGCTGCTGTTATCACCAATAAAAGCCCCGCTGAACTTCTTAGCGTGCCGGCGGCTGATGGTCAGAAGCTTCTTGTCGATATACTCCAGGACCGTGGCCTCTTTTGCGGACCCCGGCCGCAGAGGGTGGGCTCGTGGTTTGGGGAGAAGCGATGGTGTTGCGGTGGATGTGGTGGGGGTCGGGGATGGAAGATGTGCTGATGGTGGGATGAAGCCTCCTCCTCCTCCTCCTCCTCCTCCTCCTCCTTGCCCTCCTCCCATGTCTCCAGCGTCTTGTCCGCGGGGCATGGTCGCTGGTGAGCGTGCAGCCATGTAGATAATATGGATTTTTCTTGTTGGGTTCGATCAGTTTAACAGTGCGGTAGAGGTGTCCTGGCTTTTATCGCGAGCTACGAAGTAGAGAAGATCCGAAGAAGATGGTGGTCGTACCGTACCGCAGAGCTATCTGCTAACGTATCTTGCGTGACGTCGAACTACCCAATGAGGTATAGCGGGTTCTCGGTGGCTTGGACTCAGCGGCGAGCGACGTCGCAAGAACAAAGGAAATTTAAACGAAACATCGGTTTTTATTGGAAGACCTCCAGAATCACAGGGTGATGTCGCATGCAAGCAATTAAGTAGTAACTAGTGGTAGCGGCAGTGGTGGTGGTGGTGGTGGTGCCACCTACGGAAAGCTTGACAGCTCTTTCAAAGCTCGGTCCTATTCATCTTCAAATATTTTGCTACTTAGAACAGCATACCTCAAAAGTCCTCAGTACTGCTTGGCGACTGCTCCCTGTCCTAAGCCCGTTACCTGTTTAGAAGGTATCCCCTCCGATTCTGTGATGCCTCTGGCCATGCAAGTCCATAAATTGGGGACTTGTGGCAAGGCAGTTGGCGGTTAGAATGGGTGTCGAGATCCCAACCACGGAAAGTCTACAGAATTCGCGACATAAGCCTCTTCGTCTGGAAAAAAAATAAATTGATCCAAGCGATCGCCAGTGCTGGCCCGACTTCCGATACGCTCTCTGTTCCCGAGAAGTGAATTAGCACATATTCGAGCAAAAGACCCATGAATCTCCACAATGTATAGTGCCAAGCTCTGGCTTCAGAAAGGTGAGAAGATTGAGTAATGCTGGTTTGTGAAGGCATGGCAGGACATCAAGCTGCTAGCTGAGTCTTGCTACTCTGGCCCCAGCGTATTCATCATATTCATACAGAGTACGGGAAAACAGGTTGGGTGTAGGGGCACAAACATAAACGTAGCACTCACATCAATCATTGGAGATATTGGCCTCTACCTCAAACACAGTATTCTATCTACCTGAAAGACTCGACTTTTGGAATTAATCCCTCCCTAACGCCGCGCTAAACCAAGACGATGTGTGGAATAATTGACTGTAGAAAATCCCGGCCGAGAGACACAATCACTCGGGCTGCAGAGAAGGGCACATGGAATGCGTTAGCTTCTTGCAATCAACGAGGCCCCAGAAGAGCAAACGCAAAAGAACCGAACTGAGGCAAACTCACCGTGAATTTTCCCTTTCTCCTCTTCAGATCCACCAACTTCCTCTTATCTTCATTGAACTTCCGCAACAGCTCATGTTGCCTCTCCTTCCGCTTCTCTCGGGACTGGAAGCGGTAGAAGTCCTCCAGGCCCTCCTGCTTCTTCTTCTGCTTCTCGATCAACTCGCGGGCCTCATCCTCGTGGGTCGCGTCCGCCAGCTTGGGTCCACTCGTGACCGTCACGAAGCCATCCTCGTCCGGCTCCTGGGCCTTGCGCGCCGCCTCGCGCTTCCGGCTCTCAGCCACCTGCTCGAACACCGTCATGAAATCGTTGACCGTGCGGAGCAACTCTCCACGGCTGGGGTACCGGGCCTGCGAGTGGAAGAGATACCGCTCCAGCCCGAGAGCCGGCACCCGGTCCTCGTCAAGCCCTTCCCCCCAGACAATTTTTTTACTGCTGCTGCCACTGACCGCCTTGCGCGCGACCTTCCGGGCAGCCTTCAGACTGGCCTCCATGCTGGGCTGATCCACAAAGACCACGACGGCGTGCGCTCCGCTCTTCTGGAGCGGTCGGTCCCAGACCGCGGGGAGTTCGATATCCTCCAGCTGAGACTCCAGCTCATCCGCGGTGACGCGCTTCCGTTTCTTGGCCTTGCTGCCGCCGATATTTGCCTGCGGGAGCGCAGCCTGATTCTTCTTCGTGGGGACGGACTCGAAGTGGACGCGCTCGACGCGGCCGGCCGAAAGCTGGGTACCGAATAGGTGGCGCAAGTGAGTTTCGGTCGTGTCGACGGGCACGTTGACAATGAACATCGAGCGAGGAGTGTCTTCGTCCGGAATGCGAGGCTCGTGGGCGCGGAGATACATGTAATGCGTGGCAGCCTTTGCAGAGGAGGTCTTGGGGAGCTGTAGGGGCAGCACGGCGTAGCCCGCCACCTCGAGGTCTTTCTTCATCGTAGCAATTCGAGATCCTAACTTGAAACAAAACCACCCGATTGTTTGACGCAAATTATGTGAGCGGAAGCAGGAGATTGGGATGGACGCGCAGCCAAAGAAAATTGTAATCGGGGTACCTTTTTTTTCTATTGGGGCGGGGAGATGATTTTGCACCGGCAGTTTGGAAGGCGGAGAAAGGCTACCTTACCCCGACAAGCAGAGACGTCCGAAAGGAAGAGCTTAAGTCAATTGACAACTAACACGAAAGACGCACATATTCGTACAGTACATTCAAGTAGCATCTCGAAGGAAATGAAGCTTGCCATGGTGATGAAAATTACAGCCATCGATGACTCGGTAATCAGTCGCGAACATCCGACATGCACCCTGTCATGTTATGCCCTAGGGATATACATATTCCACTACACCTTGTCTGGATCATTGATTCCGCCGCTGGTAATCAGATAAGTTGCCTCGCGCTCAGGACAATCTGAGAAGAGTTAGAAAGAGTCCATGTTCGATGAAGGTAGCCTGGCAAACCCGGGGAATCCTGGATCTTGGCCACTCGCTCCTCGCCACGCCCCTTTCGAAGTAGCACTCGGGTTGTAGATGCATGCGCAAGGACATGCCCACCAACTGGCTTACGGCCATCGGCCCCGGCAAACAGAGCGCTGGCGCCAGGGTCACTTTGAACCTGATTTGTCTGCATCTCGATGAGAATAGGTCCGAACATCTGGTATATAAGGTTAGAAGGAAGAAGACAAACCATCAGGACGCAGACGTTGAACTCTGAACGCTCAGATATATTTTAGTTTTGCGACGTATCTTATGTAAGGGTTGCATGTATGTAGCACCATACCTTCAGCCATATGGGCAAGTCTCATCAGGAATTGATTCAATTTCTGCTGACGCTCTGCAAGTTCCCCACGTCCACAGTAGTCGACGCGGAAGCAGTTCATGATGCTGTCAATTATCAGCAGCCGATACTCCCCGGAGGCAAACTCGCGACTCAGGGTATTCAGTAGCTCTAGCTGATGCTCGCTGTTCAGGGCTCGAGCGTAAGCGATGTTCTCCTGCGTGGAATCTGGGTCAACCCCAAAGCGTTCGGCGATCTGAGCAATGCGCTCGGGTCTGAAAGTGCCTTCCGTATCGATATATGCCACTTTGCCATCGGCCCCGCCCATATCCTTTGGAAGCTGGGCAATAACGGACATGGTATGCGAGAGTTGGGTCTTGCCGCAGCGGAACTCACCATACACCTCGCTGATGCTCATGCTCTGAAAGCCTCTGCGAGTACCATCATGATTAGAATACTTCACTGGCGCATATTGCAAGGTAACAGAACCCTACCCTCCTAAGATGGAGTCGAACTGTGTGCTCCCTGTTGAAATGCGTACCACCTTTTTGCGCCGGTGGCTCAGCTCCATCGCTGTCATGAAACCAGAGGCCGAGGGCTGATTCTGGGCTATGAGATTCAACACTCGGAGGAATTTTCGAGAATTGAAGCACCCACCAGGCATTTTTGAATAGCGTCCTTGATCTTCTCGACTTTGACTTCACTGAAGCCGCGAATCTTCAGCAATGTTCTCCGCGTGGCGCTATGAACGGACTGCAGAGAAAGCCAACAGGTGAGCAGATGGTATAGCGACGGAGCGGCTGGACACGATGGCATACTGCAATTGTGAAGTAACCATTCGCCTTCAACTTGTTGATATCTGCAACTCCAATCCCTAAATGCAAATGAGCTGAATGAAGTAGGGAAAGAATGAAGAAAGCAGTCAAAGAGTGGCCAAAGGAGTACCGTGAGACTGGATTGAATCAATATCGACGATGAAGGCCTTTTATAGGAGAAAAGGAGTTCAGCTTTTAGCAAACAGGATTTTCCAAACAACAAGCGAAATGAGAGGATGAGTAGGGGATTTACATCGTTCTCGAACTCGTCACTTGTGTCAGAGCCCGGCATGATTCTTGCTTGAAAGCGCCGGATTAAAGTCGTCTAGAATATGCGTCGACGAATAAAGATCACAGTGTCGCCTGTTGCTTGGATCCGATTGTAAAAGGCAAGGTAGAGTATCTTAGTAAGAAATGGGCGAAGCCATGGCGTGGGAGGTAACAACAGTACTGCATGTACATTGTAGTATCCAGCAGGCGCAGCAGCACAGAACTGAAAAACCCAACAGTGGTACCACTGACGGAGCACGCACTACGCAAGCCCAACATCCACCTACTCATTGACCTGCGAGCAAGAAGATTACTTTCAATGGTGTTTCTTTGTTTTGAAATTTTTGTTTCGCTTCCCAATCGAAGTATATGAGAAGGATATAGTACGAAAAGATGAGGTTGCCACAGCGCCAGGTAGATCTTTTCACCACTCACACATCTTCAGCAAATACACACCCATACACAATTCCAGCCACTCCTCCTTAAAGCCTGTTCCCATGCATGCAAACGCGCTCGCTTCGGTCCACCATTTGTCTGTTCTGCGCTCAATTAACCCGTCGCCTCGCCAGGGCCTCGTCTCCTTTTCTTGCCGCATCTGATTTGTGTAAATGAGAAAGATACCCGAGGTGATCAATAGACGCCATCCATAAAGTCCCTGAGCAGTGTGTTTAGGACCCAAGCAGTAAGGAAAACCAAGACTTCGTGAAACTTTTGTTGTTCGTCGTATACATAACGGAGATTGAAATCAGTCGGTACCAAGAGTTGTAATGATGGGAGGCCGCAATATATGCAAAGGAAGAAACGTGGAATAAAAAGAAAATCGAGACCAATGTCGGCTAGCCCTAATACAAAAAGAAAGAATGGGAATGGCTCCCAATGACTGGGAATGAACAATCGTAGAGCTTTATTTACGCAACAGCGGCGGGAGCTGCAGGCGCAACAGCGGCGGCCTCTTGGCTGGCCTCAGCACCGGCGGCAGGGGCAGGGGCAGCAGGGGCAGCAGTAGTCGCATCGACAGGCTTCGAGACATCACCGTTGGGGCAATCGCGAGAGATGTGGCCGGCCTGGGAGCACTTGTAGCAAACCTTGCCGGCAGAGCTCAAGGGGCCACCGTTGGGAGCGGTGCAGTCGCGAGAAATGTGGCCCTGAAAATCGTTAGTCAGGACGAATGGAAGGGACAGGAGGTGGGTAATTGGAAGCCATACCAGCTTGCCGCAGGCGTAGCACTTCATGGCCTGAGCCTGGCAATCACGGGCAAAGTGGTTGGGGCCACCGCACTTGTAGCAGGTGGCAGGACGAGAATATCCGCCACGGAAGCCGGGGTTGAAGGCACCCCGGGGGCCAGCAGGGGCCCGAGGAGCACCCGTAGCAGGAGCGGTACAGTTGCGCTAGGAAATGATCAATGAGTTTACTTTCGGAGCGATTGTGTTCAGGTGGACCGTCGACATACAGCGATATGGCCGGGCTGGCCGCAGTTGTAGCAGCGGCCGTTGGCATTGTTAAGGCGAAGCGTGGGACAATCAGCCTGAACGTGGCCTACCCCCTGGCAGTTGTAGCACTGCTTGGCTAAAAGACCGTATATCAGAATCCTCATCGTAAACGAGATATCTTGAGGCACGCTTACACTCGGTGGTACGGGGAAGCGGGCAGCTGCTGGACTCATGTCCTGTGAGCGGGTTAAATATGTTCTTGGTGCGTATGTGACATGCATCGCATGAGACGTACCGGGCTGCTTGCCTGTGATATGAGAGGGTGGTTAGCGATTGAATAGAGCAGCTACAGCAGCTTAGATAGATCATTGGATTGCACCCACAGTTGTAGCAAAGACGCTCAGACGAAGAGCAGACCTCTACACGAGCCAATTAGCGATTTTTGGCCTGGGCCTCAGGCGTTTCTGAACCATCAACTAACCAGCAAAGTGGCCAATGTTGCCACACTTGTAGCAGGCTCGGCGAGACAACAACATTGTTGAAGAATGGAATGAGCCTATGTGTAATTATAATCATCGCCGTCAGCGGTTCTGAAGTCAATAAAGTGTGCTTGCAGTATTTATTGTCGAGCTGTTCGCCGCTGGTCGCATTGGAAAGATTCCGGCGCCATGCAACCTCTTCCCCATCCCCCGAAGACTTGGGCAAGAACCGTGGAAGTTATCAGAGACCCGCCACATTGCTGTATATAACTCGCATGCAATTGTTCCTCTCAAGCGCATTGTGGAGAATTGACTGCAGGCAGATCGTGGACGGGAGCAAAAATCGGGAACAGCGGCCAAAGAAAGTTGCAAGAATAGTCGCGCAATGCGGCCACCGGGAATGCAGCACGATGAGGGAGACGTAAGAAAGTACTCACTCTTTCCTAGATTATGAGCAAAAGGAGACCAGTGAGACACCCTTCCAATCTTTGGCAGGAGGCCTGATAGAGTCGTTAGCTCGAGAAGCTTGGAGAAATCAACACTTTTGACAGCCTGCTCCTTGACAGAGTGGGCTGACATAAGACCAAGCAGGTGAAAAATTGTCACGGAACGGAAAATTGGCAAAAGTAACACTAACCGAGCATGAGATACGCTGGATGATTTGATAGACTAGGAAACTAGGAAGAGATATGATACGAGATCGAGAACCTATTGGATTCGGGTAATCTAAATTTAATGATATACAAGCCCCAAGGAAGAGTAGATGAGGACAAGGTAGAAAATTGACGGAATTCTAGAGTACCAGTCGAAGTCATAAGCGATTGAGTTAAGTAAGCAAGGGAACAGAAAGAGACCGATTTTGTGATGTATGGTTACAGTCAATTGTTACGAACGGTAATTTATAATCCAATCTTCTGTAGGTTCCAGAGCCAGTTCCAGATCCAAGTTAGCTCCCGGGCTTTCCCGTAAGTTCTCGGTGCAAGGGTTTGGCCGGAAGGTTGAATCCTCCCCGGATTAGCACCGGTGGAAGGAGGCAATGCCAGGTGCCCTGTTGTCGGGTCCGGCAGTACACTTATATCGTACCCAATGTATTGTGAGTGTATTCAGTACTGTATTGTCATTGTGTTTCCTTCATTCCAGTGTCAATAGCACAATTCTTGACCGATGAACCTACAGCCCAATTTGAAGTACTCATGTCCGCAGTGTCCCTGAGCCTCTCCAGAGGCTGAAGCTGTAAAACCTCATTTCATGAGCTGGTATACTAGAAGTGGTTCTTTCAGCCACTGGAACCCAATGACAGCAGCTATACAATCAAGGCTGGTAAGTGGCAAACCATGCTTCCAGCTGAGCAGCGTTCCATGGTTCTTTCCTGTATTATTGATCTGCCAT